CTCACGGGGGCAGCCTGTCTGTGGTTTAGCCCGGCCGGCAACTAAAAGCCACGCAGCCGCTCGCTTGCCCTGGGGCATGGGGAAGAGAATTAGAGAGGAAAAGGGGAAGAGACTCGTGGGTTGAGATAAGAACAATTTAATAATAATAATCTTTAATAACAAAAATATATGAATATATGTATAGCAGTAATAATATTTACAAACAAGTGATGCACAGAGTAATTGCTCACCAGCTGGTGACCAACACCTGTCCCATCCTGGCAAAGGATCCTGAAACAGGTAAGTCCCGACACCGCAATCCCGGATGAGCGAGAGGTCCGAAAAGAGAGAGAGAGAGAGAGCACTCCAAGAGTCCAAGAGAGCCCTTGGAAGAAGGTTCCTGGAAGAGCAAAAGCCCCTTTTTCCAGTCAACCCTCCTCTGTATACTGGGCATGACGCTGCAGGATACTCCATTGGCCAGTTTGGCCCTCAATCTGAAGTCCAAGTTCAAATCTTAAGGGGAGTTGTGGGACCCTTTGTCCCAGCCATGCTCCCCCCCAGCCTGTTGTGCTCCTGCCCACTGGCAAAACATGGGAAGCTGAAAAGTCCTTGAGGTCTCCGTGCCAACTCCAAACATCAGGGCGCTGTCAGCGTTCTTCTCAGACCAAGTCCCAGACTAAAACCAAACCCCAGAGCTCTTCCAGCGGCTAAAAAGAGAAACTCACTCTGTCCCAGTGAGAACCAGGAAAGTGTCTGATGCTTGTTGTCAGGAACAGCCTCTCTGTGCTTGACAGTGATCCGGGAGAGATGAAGGGAGGGGGCTGCTGTGCTGCCAGGCACCCAGGGGAGGGAGAGAACCACCCCGTGAGTGGGCAGGGACCTACTAGAGCTTCGTGAGAAGCCACATGAAGGAATGAGTGAAGTTTTTGCTCCTCCCCTTTTCACACCAGGAAAAGGGCTCTCTCCCTCCTTCCCGGCAGAGATCATGGCCCTGCAGACCCGGGGCGGAATGTTGCTGTTGTGGTGCTCTCCTGATTAAGCTGTTTGCCTCATGAGACTTAATGAGGCATGTAGTTTTCTAGGTTGTGGTGGTTAACTGGGAACTGGGGTTTGTGTATTGCCTCATTGGAAAGCGTGTGGCCAAGTGTGCAGCCCTCCATGGAGTCCCTGATCCCAAGGAATTTATCGGCAGCTAAAATACCATACTTGGCAAAATCTTCCCCGAGCTGTAGAGCCCTTGAGGTCTCTGTGACTCCATGTTGCTCGTATTTACTTGCCCTCTTACTCCACTGCTTTAGTAGCTTGGCAGTTCTTTGGGCTCCAAAACTTGTTTTCACCATGTGAACTGTCTGAACTCTGGGCCGAACCAGACCGTAAGTGCAAATAAAGCACCGCTGCGATGGAGATACCCTGTTTTAATTTGGGAGAAAGAAGCTGCCCAGGGCAGCTGCTGGGATTTCCAGGAGGCCTCCAGCTTAAATGCCTCTCCTGGTGCTTTACCTGCCCCTCCAGGGAAGGGAAGATGTCAGTGTAGGCTACTCTGGTGTGGGAGGGAGCACATGTTAGAGCTCGTGTAGCTGTAGGCTTGAACAATGATGTGGGATGGGAGCGGAGCTATTCCTGCTAAGTAGGGCTCAAAGACAGCTGTTGAGAATCATGGAAGGTTTGGGTTGGAAAGGACCTCAGAGATCATCCAGTTCCAACCCCCCTGCCACGGGCAGGGACACCCTCCACTACACACCAGGTTGCCCAAAGCCTCATCCAACCTGGCCTTGAACACTGCCAGGGATGGGGCAGCCACAGCTTCCCTGGGCAACCTGTGCCAGTGCCTCAGCACCCTCAGAGGGAAGAATTTCTTCCTCAGATCTCATCCAAATCTCCCCTCTCTTAGTAGGTCTGTCTAATCAAATACCATCACTTTGCTATACTTTGGTGGAACTAGAGCAAATGTGTACTTTTAAGGCTTCTGGCTTGGTCTGGACACAGCTGTTGTGTGTGGGAGGTTGTCTCTGTGAAAACATTCGGTATAAACCCCCTGGTACACATCTGGGTGTCCAGTACTGACAGCGTCGTGGAGCTCAACCTCTGGAGCCCCCTGACAAGCTGCAAGGTGAGGATAAGGGCTGGTGACGCCCTGTGACAGCTTTGGGAAGCACCAAAAGGAGGGAGCAGCTGGCTCTTGGGTTGGAGACTGTTTAGGGGAGCACACAAGGACACGCATCGTGCTCTGCTCTGTGCTCTGAAGAAATTCAGAGTGCTTTGACTTTGGAGCAGCCTGTGCAGGTCGTTTGTTCCTGCTGCTGCTCCTTGTGACTCCTCTCCAGGAGTAAACACATGGCTGCCCTTCCAGCAAGAGGGGAGCTGGTCAAGCTACCGTCTGTCTCCTGTCCTCTGGAGGAGGCTGTGGTGTAAAGAGGGCTTTCCTCATGAGTCACTCAAAGGACCATGTGGCTTTGAGGTCCTTTATCTCTGGCACAGCGTGCAGGTCACGGGTCAGCCCCCGCTGCCCCAACGAGGGAACTGCAGGTGTGGGAGATGAGGCTGGAGCCCAGCTCTAGGCTGGAGGCTCCGTGCATCTGAAAGGACTTGGCCTGAGGAACACTGGGGAGAGGGGGGCAAGGGGCTGCGGGAGGTAAAATGGGGTGTGGTGGAAGCGATGAGGAGCCACAACTCTTTAATAACCTTCATTTAATTCTTCCATGACATTGGCATGTGTAGAAATGTTACAGGCTCGTTTACGATACTGGTAACGTTTGCATTGCTGTGTAGGTTATTAGCAAAGCCCTTTATGTCAAGTACAATACAATCACTTCATATCTTTTTTCATAGAAAATAAATGCTTAGAAATATCAACTGTTATTGCTACTAAATTCCTGAGTTATGCTGAGAACATGTTCTCGTCACCTTCATTAGATGCTCCCCGCGACCAGCAGCGTCTGCTCGTCAGTCACAAAGCTCTGCGGTGTGTTATAAAGGGTTTGTCCGTGCAAGCTGACGACTGCACGCAGGGAAATTTTCTATAGAGGAGAAAGGAAAGAAAATTCAAGTTAGCAGGTTGTCACTGTCACAGCACGGGCAATTCCAGTAGTCAGATGGAACGCCAAAAGGCGGATCGGCTCCAGAACTACAAGCCTGACTCCCAAGCTGTTCTCCTGGCCCGACTCCCAACATTTGCCTTGCAATCCGACAGCAAACATCCCCTGTGACTGTGACAGAGCTCGCGAGCAAAGCCAGTTAGAGCTCGTCAGATCATAGAATCTTAGAACGGTTTGGGTCGGAAGGGACCTCAAAGATCAACCAGTTCCAACCCCCCTGCCATGGGCAGGGGCACCTTCCACTACACCAGGTTGCCCAAAGCCTCATCCAACCTGGCCTGGAACAGCTGGAGTCTGTGTGCTAACACAGCAGGGGTGGATCCTGTGGAGGAAGGGAGCACTGCGTGATGCTGTTCGTGCCATGACTCTTCCAGCCTTGATGACTGATACTGTACAGCAGCCCGTTCCGCATCATGCCAGGCTGCTCAGAGCTTGGAGAAGCAGAGCACTGAACTTAAAATTAATTAATGTTAATTTTACCTGAAAGTCACGGATGTAGGTGAGGAAAAAGCTGAGGAAGGAGAAGGCTAATGACCACTCTGAGACGGTGCTGATGATGTGAGCTGTGTAGCCCTGCATGGGGGGGGGGGGGGGAGGGGCAGAACAAAACAGTGTGAGAAGCTCCTCTTGAACTCACAATGGCACAAAGATGGCACAACTATTCCCTCTGGAGAGCAACAGTTCTTAGTGTATCTGGAGTCTCTAAGAATGAAGTGCTGAAGTCGGCAGAAGAGTGAGAATGACCAGGAAAACACCTGCTCCACACAACTGGGATGACCCCCTCTGGGAATTTAATATCCACCTGCAAAGCCTGAAGGCTCAGTGAAGAGCTTGGCATGGCTAACGGCAAAACCTCGCTACAAAAAAGGCCCCGCTTTGGATGCAAGCAGGCTTCTGAGAGGCTCCTTATGCTTTAAATAAAGGGAGGGGTGGAAAAGCCCTCAAAGCCAGCTGGGGGAATCACAGAATCATAGAATGGTCAGGGCTGGAAGGCACCTTCAAAGGTCATCTAGTCCAACCCCCCTGCAAGGAACAGGGATATCTCCAACTAGATCAGGTTGCTCAGGGCCTCATCTAACCTGGCCTTGAACGTCTCCAGGGATGGAGCATCCACCACCTCTCTGGGCAACCCTAATATTTCCACCAGTAAGTGCCCACGCCTCCAGCAGTGCCTGGAGAGGATGAGGAGGGCCAAGGAGACAGGCAGAGCTGTTAGACATGCATGCCCTCTCTCTGTCCCACTTGGGACCTCTCGCTGCCCGGCACTTACTGCTCCAACGGCAGCTCGATGGCTCGTAGCCTTCGGCCTTCATCTCCTCCTGACTCCCCCAGCCAGGAGCTCCGCTTCGCCGGCGCGCGAGATCCCTCATTTACAGGGGCCGGGAATCGCTGACCAGCACGGACTGGACAAGCTGCTGGTCTGACAGCCCATTGTGACAGTGCAATTGCTGCCCGTGAGTGAGATGAATTTAAAATAACCCTTCCAGCTGCAACTGTTGCTCAGAGCAGTTCTTTGGCAAGTCGCTGCACACTGGCTCAACTGGTAAAGCTCACTCGTGCTCTCCCATCCCACGTGCGTGCACACAACTGCAGCAGGTGCCCGGATGCATTTGGCACTGTAAATGACGTAGCTGGTTTTGTTCTGGTTATTTTCTTTGCTCAATCACTTACTTCTTCCTGTGGGTCCCAGTGCAACTTCTGCACGAGGTTCGTTCCGTACAGGCCACTGTATAAGACAACTGAGGAAGCAAACACTGCAAAGGAATCTGTTAAGGAAGATTCAGCGCCGAGAAGGAGCAACTCCGAAATGTCAGACTCGGCTCCGGATTGTGTCAAGCTGAGGCTGTAAGGAGATCCCTGCGTGTTTTCCACGAGGCCTCCTCAGCATAACGAACAGCAGTGGTGACAAGGACCACTTCACATCGCTCCCTTCAACTTGTAGATTGTTCCAACCGACTAGTTACCATCACACGGCACGGTTAATTCTACTCTAAATCCATTTCCTTTGTTCTCTGGATGCTGCTGCTTGTTGCACCTCCTCAATCAAACACAGGCTCCTTATGAAAGCATAGAATCATAGAATGGTTAGGGCTGGAAGGGACCTTCAAAGATCATCTAGTCCAACCCCCCTGCAAGGAACAGGGGTATCTCCAACTAGATCAGGTTGCTCAGGGCCTCAAGGCTCCAACCTGGCCTTGAACGTCTCCAGGGATGGAGCATCCACCACCTCTCTGGGCAACCTGTTCCAGTGTTCTACAACTCTCATGGTAAAAAATTTTTTCCTAATATCCAACCTGAATCTACCTCCCTCTATTTTAAAACCATTACCCCTTGTCCTATCACAACAGGCCCTCCTGAACAGCCTCTCCCCATCTTTCCTGTAGGCCCCCTTGAGGTACTGGAAGAGCATTTAAGTTCTGATCAAATGTGAATACTTACTTAGCGTTTTGAATTTTTTTTTGTGGTGTTTTCCAGGCTAATAGTGTCCAGATCTCTTTCTCTGATTGCTTTGCAACTTCCAAGCCACCTTGAATTCCTGGTATGCGGGTTACAGGCTGGAATACTGTATCATTTGCAGCAGAGAGGGTTATTAGCTTCTCAGTTTCCCTCTTAATTCACTCAAGGTTTGATAACAGCAGCCAAGGAAAAACCTCATGACAATGATTCCTCATTTGATCAGAGACTCTAGAGTGACTGAGATGTCACTTTTTCAACATCTTACGAAGGTACAGTGCTTCAGTGCTACTGCCTCTATAAATGAAACTTGGAGCACTAAGTTGGAGAAGATTTGCTTTTCATAGGATTAAGACATTATCTTCTTTAATCATTAATGAGATGAAACATCAGGAGCCTCCTGATGTGAAAGGTTAATTTTAGTGGTGAATAAGGCTGAACTTACTGGCACAAACATGTTTTTGAAAACCCAGACTTCCAAAGCTTATTAAAAAATTGATGTGAGTGGTCCAGGGAGCTCTGGTTACTGATCTGAATGCAAGACACCCAATTCTCTGCTAATTAAAATGTACAGCTTTCGCAGCTGTTAGATACCTGCCTGAGATCCCCCTGCAATGGAAATAATTTAATCATCACCATACAAAAATAACTGGCTTTCATCCTCCCCTCGTTACAGAGCAGGTAATTAACTGCTTTGCTCTTTCTGTGTTGGTAATTCTGCTGTTTCACTCCAGCAGAGGATCAGGAGTATTTTTACGTTCCCTTCTGTCCTCCAGTACCAGTTAGAACCATTTCACCTATCGCCATAGACTTCTGCCTGTTTCCAGCTTTCCCTTATTACATTACCAACTGTTAGTTTAGAAAATACCCCAACAATTTCCCCTTTCTTCCCCTTCCATATGTACGTATGTACGTACACATCGTTATTTCTACAGCTGTCTTTCCTTCCCTCTAATTTTGGTTAGACCACACTGGTTTAAAAACCTCTCTAGATTTGGAGTTTGTGGGTTTTTGGCATCTGTAAAAGGCTCTTAACTTGCCTGAGTTCATATTGTTCTATTTTAGGTCTTCCTCAGTTGTATTTGGCTCCTAACTGTTCGAAGCTGAAATTCTTGTTCTTTGCTAGCACCAGAAATTTCTACTACAGACTGTAATTCCCTAAGTTTCCCACACGACTTCCTTGGGGTGTGTCAAGCCTCCTGAGCAGGAAAGGGTCCTTCTCACTCCTTTACAGACAACCAGCCTGTGCCTCGACTGTCGCTTCTCGTCCGACCAGCACAGATGATGTAATCTTGCAGCAGCAGGAACGGGAGCTCGGTGAGATGCTCCGGCCCTGGGAAACAGGGCGTATGGTTTAGTGCTGGTTTTGGCTGCCAGCCTGGAAATAAGTGGAATTGGTGGGGATTCAATCGGTGGCCTTGATTCAACTGCAGAAGGGACAGAGTTTAAGCAAGGATGTTTGCACTCATGTCTTTGGAATGTAAATATGAAAGCTTTAGCGTTGCAGTTCTGTTTGACACAAAACTGGGTCATAATTTTCCAAATACAACGTTTAGGTCCATTGAGGTGAGCAGAGGAGCTGCTGTGGGTCAGTTTCCTGATTGTTAAATGACTCCAGACAGGAAAAAGGCCTCTCTTTCTGGATGGATCTGCCCGTATTTCTGTAAAACCCACAGCTGCTTCCAGCACTCGGAATGTGAAGTGAAGGGAGATGATGGATTCCAGAGCTGAGGGAAGGTCGCAGGGAATGCTGGTCAGAAACGTCTTGTCTTTTGAACTGTAGGATGGCCAGGGGAGGAGATCAGAGGTCAAATGTCTCTTCTGACTCGACCTTGGCAATATGCTCCAGAATCATGTCCCTGACAACGCCAGACCTGGGAGACAGCTGGCACAGTGCATGGTTAGGTAACAGGATTTTCTCTTCTGCTACATTCTGTGCTCCTCTATAAAATTTGCTGCAGCATTCCTGTCACCAGGGAACAGACACTTTTATTCCTTACACGGCTTTTTCTTCCCATTAAAACCACCCATCTCCTAAGTATGTTTCCCTTTTCTCCCTTTCTCCCCATCTTTCATGATCTACAGTCAGACCTCTTTGTGAGAAACTCTGATTTTGCCATTTTGAATTGCAGGCGTACGGAAGGACCGGAGAGGAGAAAGGGTGGTAACCATCCCCCTTACCTTTCTTATGCAGTGACTCACTTGCAGGGTCAACCTGATGGTTCCCTTTTTCCCTAAAGTTCCCAGGTTGCAATCCAGAAGATGAGTCGATAGTGTGATACACGCAGTACGTGTAAGGATGACAGGCCTCCTGTGGCACAGCCTTTCACGTAGAATCACAGAATCATAGAAAGGGTTGGGTTGGAAGGGACCTCAAAGATCATCCAGTTCCAAACCCCCTGCCATGGGCAGGGACACCTTCCACTACACCAGGTTGCCCAAAGCCTCATCCAACCTGGCCTTGAACACTGCCAGGGATGGGGCAGCCACAGCTTCTCTGGGCAACCTGTGCCAGTGCCTCAGCACCCTCAGAGGGAAGAATTTCTTCCTTCTATCTAATCTAAATCTGCCCTCTTCCAGTTTAAAGCCATTGGGAGGTTAAATTAACACCGGTGCAAACACTGTCACTTGTGAAGGCTGCTCTGTTGTATGGTGACACTGCACGGCAAAAGGATACTGCTGACAATGCTTGAGCAACACCAGAGCAACACGGTCAGACGGATCCAAAAGATGTCTTTGCTGTGAACTTCTGGCTGCATCAGGTAGGACAGGACAGTCTGAACCAGCATGTAAATGGCCCCTACTCCGAACGTCAGGCAGGCTCCAACCACGTGTATGTAGTACAGAGTGTATTTTTTTTTTAGAAAGCACTGCTTGTACAGAACCTGGTTTCATTTTGGATTCTTGGAATAATTTTCTTCTGTAAACCTTTGGCACTCCACCCGCTCAATTACCTTCCCACATCCCAAGTGAAGTAGTTCTGGAACATGCTAGTGCTTAGGAGATTTTTCTTGGAAAGCCCATACAGGGTTAGCTGGAAGGCAGCACCTGCCAGCCCTCTGCACTGCAGCTTTTGTGAAGTTCTTGTGGCCAAGATACAGGTCACAGCTACATCTGAGCTACAGGAATTTATGAGAGCTGCTCTCAGTAGCTGTAACACATGGTAGTACGGAAACGGGATGAAGGAATCCCTGCAGCTGGACAGGAAATGAGTGACAACAGGCTATCTACTGAGCATTTCTATCCCAGGAATCTGTGCATCTATGAGAGATAATGTGACACAGGATAAACACGACACAGTTCTGGTACCCAAAATGGGATTAAAAATAAGGAGGTTTAGCGTTTCTCTGAATTACTCTAGTTTGAACAAGCCTTGTTTGTCAAATTAGTATCTTTGAGCACTCGCAGGGAACAAGGTTGAACCAAGCAGTGATACTTCCTAACTTAAAAAACACTACGGGAGAATCAACTGTTGAATAGTAAAAATCATTAATGCTGGAAGTTATTCCAAGAAAAACAACCCAACTTAAAACTTATGCCCTGAAAAATGACGTTGTGTTCAGCCCTCTCCTCTCAGCCCTGGGTAAGCAAGGTGCCCAAAGGCAGAGACGACAAAGTGTTGTCTTGCCAACTGTGCCACTCGAGGCCTGGCACTGCCCCGCACGCCAACCCTGCAGGTGATCTCTTACGCCCTAAAGCAGGAGACTGTGTATTTTACTGAGTAGCTGTTAAGATGAGGAACTGGAGTCACCTCTTCCTCACAATCTCCACGTGCACAAATGAATTTGAAGTGCTGCACCCACAGCCTAACAGAGGTGGGAAGGCAGATTTAAATAGTGAATCACCCAGTTGCAAAGGCACGTGCTCCAAAATCCACGTGCTGCTCAATGATGAGGTGTCATCAAAGAGAGGTCTTTGCCCTCTATGAGACGAAATCAAGAGCCCCAGCTAGAAAAAAGCAATAGTACTGGCTG